GACCCTCACCTGCTTCCCTGTAGGTTTTGCTCTGATCAGCAGGGGTCTGTATGCAGGAATTGGCATCACAGAAAGGTGGTCTGAGGAGCCGATGTGGGGGCGGGGGGCTGCTCTGAATGCGTCTTTTATGTTTGTATAAACTAAGTCCAGAGTGTTCTCTCCACGAGTAGCAAAATCCACGTGTTGATAAAAATGAGGGAGAACAGTTTTCATATTCGCCTGATTAAAATCTCCAGCAATGATGAAAACGCCCTCTGTGTGTGTAGATTGCAGCTCAGAGACAGACCGATAGAGAACACTCATGGCCTCCTTTGTATCAGCGCTGGGGGGGACATACACCGCTGTGATGGTAACAACAGTGAACTCTCTGGGCAGGTAAAAGGGTCTGCAGCTAACAGTTAGAAGCTCTATGTCCGGAGAGCAAAAACTTGTGACTATTCTAGCATTTTTACACCAGTTGTTATTGATGTAAACACAGAGTCCGCCTCCTCGGCTCTTACCGCTGAGTTCTTTGTTTCTGTCGGCGCGGAAAGTAGCTAGCCCCTCCAGGCTAATGGCGTTGTCCGGGATTGATGAAGTGAGCCACGTCTCTGTCAGAATGAGAGCGCAACAGTCCCTAAACTCCCTCTTTGCTGAGAGCTCGAGTTGAAGATGGTCAGTTTTGTTGTCCAGTGAACGTACGTTGGAGAGCAGGATGGATGGAAGCGATGGTCTGTAGGGGTTAGCCTTTAGCTTGGCTGCTAAACCTCCGCGACAGCCGCGTTTCCTCGGCCGGCTGCACCGCTTTCGCTTGGCTCTCCTCCAGCGTGAGCTGCTCGACGGGTCCGCTGCATCGCAGGCCTCCGGGGCTTGATCCCGGAGCACTCCGGAGTCACGTAAACAGTCGAGCGTAGAGGTGGTTACAAGTCCAAATACACTGCATGACCGTAACTCCAGCAGGTGCTGGCGGTCAAGTGATGATCTGCTAGATAGATAAGCAGTTTGCAGCGGGTTTGGCGGTATATTTTTATGAAAATCTCCGCAAGTTGGTTGGAGCTGTACGCCAGCCGCTGCCGCCAGGGGCGCCGCCATCTTATTAATGCATGCTCCATAGCTTTAAAACGATTAAAGCAAAGACTAACGAAAGATTCAGTTTTAAAACCAGAATTTCATTTTTGTCTTTCAGTAAATAATCTGTTTATTGTGAGGAAAAAAAAATCTGAGGATGGTGAAATATGAAGCTGACAGGCTTTAGTTGTAGTTCCTCAGGCTTTATCTCCTTGGTTCAGTGATAATGGTCCATTTTGCTGCTCAGTAATAAAAACATTTAAGCAGCATGAAAGGCATTTCCACATTTAGGTTTTTGCATTTGAACGCATCTAAAGGAAAACCTTTTTAGAGCTTTAATAAGTCACACTAAACTTAAAGTTTGAATTTTTCTATATTCTTTAACATGGCACTCTATGAGCTTAGTTTAAATTGATAGATAATGTTTAAGGTGGAGTTTTCTTACAGCCATGACTGTAATGAAATATAGTCTGCGCCCTCAGTTTGTTTACCTTCTAATATTTAGGGTCTGCCTGCTGCCTAATGAGCCCAGTCTGAGCTGGTGGAGGTGATTGGGATTATGCCGCTCCTCATGTGGCTGTCAAATTGCCTGCTCGGAGTTTGACTTTGACTGACAGGACATGCTGGAGTGTTTGTACATGGATTGTTGTACTTGGACCGTGATAAGGTTGTCTGCCAAACACAGGAGAAAACAAACAGACCTGATAGTGGCAGTATTTATATCCTGTTATGCAACTTTTCTTCCACCCCCGTATTGGTGCTTCTGCTTTTATTAGTTGATCAAACTCCTGCTTATATTACTTTAGTATGAATCCGCATTGATCAAAACAATATAAGGAAACAAACCATTTACTGTAGCTGATGAAATATATTAAACTCATAATTTTTATTTTCCTTTTGTGTAAACATAAAAGTTAGCTTCCTGTTTGCTTGCTTTGTTTTTAGGACTAATTTGGATAATTAGCAGTCACAATTGGATTACTTGCAGAGATCTAAGTCTAAGCAAACTGTGGTAGCATTGCTGATGGCCCTAGCAGGCTTGCGTTGTGCTGAACCACAGAAATGGTTTTCCTGTTGCACCAGCGTTTTGTTTTCAGCTCTTAGTCTGTGTTGTGTAAAGCCTTTTGTATGAACCCCTCACTGTCGCCCACTGACTCTGAGGCTAACTTTGGAGTAAGCTCTGTTGGGGCTTAGCCTTTGGTAATCCCTCTTTAAAGCAGCAAGCAGCAGGGCGGTATTTATATCCACTTTTCCCTGCCTTTTTCGTCCCTTTGCAGTCGCATCTTCCTACTTCCTCCACCTGGTGATTCCTACCACCAACCTCTGGTCAGACCTGTTTGTTTCTGCAGCCATCTCATTTAAAAAATGTTTTATTTTGAGCGTTTAGAAATGAAATAGGGCTTACACATTCTTCTCCCTCCTTATGCCCTAATTTACATTAAGCTCTCATATGTTTGTTTTTTTTCTTTTCTTTTTTGTGCGTGTGGGTGTATTTTACTAAAGGATGCTAGGGGAATGTAATTGTGTTTTTAATTAGGCTGTCACATTGTAATTTGACTCTCACCTTTCCATTTTGGCTAAATCATTTAAACAATCAAAAAATCATGTATTTTCAGGAACATCTACAAAATTGCTTCATTGCTAAAAAATATAAATATATTTTTATAATTTTGTTATAGAGGTATTGTTATGGTTAACACTGGAAGAGATCTCTCAACAGATGATAAACCTACAGTAGTATTATTTTGTTGTAAAATGGTTTCTGTTTGGTTAGAAGTATCAAATCTCAATCATGATGCAGCTGGCAGTTTTGATAATATATTATAAAAGTTCTGATAGGTGATATCTTTAAAAAAAAAAAATGTTTCTTCCGCTCTATGTTAAGCCGTCAGTGAAAAGCTGAAATCAAACTTTAATATGTTTTTTTCTTATCCTTCCCAACATATATAAAAGTGACGGAGAGCTGCAGTCCTCTCCTCTGACTGTAGCAGCCTGCTGCTGTTTCACACCTCGACTTTTATTCTGATGTATTCAGTCCTTACAGTGCTCTGGTTTTTTTGTATAACTTAACATCGGGATATTCAGCAAAAGTCTCTTTATAATATGCAGAAAAAAGGTCAATATTTTGTTTATGCAATGTAAAGTTAAACACAAGAATGAAGGCAATGCTAACTTTGACTTTGTCCAAATATCCCCAGAGAGACTATAAGACACACGAGCTGACACCTAAACTTTAGGTGTAATATTTAAAACTATTGTCAGGATGATTTTTATTACAGTGAGAAATAAAAACCTGTTATCCTTCTTACATTGATTAACCCCACCCTGTAATGGCATTAGATAATACTTAATGTTTGCTGCACCGTGTGTGCAAAAGGGCAGTTAAATACTACTTATATTACCTAAACTAAGTAACAATATAAACTGCTGGATATATTACAACTTCTGTGGCGGCTCTTGGCTTATTTTGCTGGGATCGCTGTCCTGGAAAACATTTACAGCAAAGTATCACATTTCAAAGGCGTTTATACATAGTTTAGCTTTTAGTTTCACTTTTGCAGAAAGTCTCGCTGAGACAAAATGTCTCACTATCAAGATAAAGGCTGAATGTGTATCTATGATACCAAATGGGTAATATTGCTTTGGGTTTTCTAAGAAGTAATGATAATAATGGAAAAATTATAACAGTTCCTCTGCTGTTATTTAATCTTTGTTGATTTGCACATAATCTTCCTATATTTTATCTTGTTGAATCACTAGAAAGCAGCTGAAGATGTTTATGCTGAGTGGATAATCATTGACTTCTCTGTGAATTTTTCTTTTCCTCCCAAAGAGAAATGGTTTAAAACGACGTCTGTTTCCTCTTTCTGTGTAGTATGATATGGGTTAGTCAGGATCCTGTGCTGCACTTCTTGTTTGGGAAACAGAACCTTGACTGGGCTTGTTGGAAGCTCCTCCTGGAACAAAGCAGCATATTGATCTGTCATTGATACAAACTAACCTGGTTCCAAACGGCAGCGGAGCTTCGCTTTAGGGCGCAGAACACAAACATGCCTTTTCTCAAACATTCCTGCGTTCCTCCTTGTGACTTCACCACTGGCAGATTTCAGTCCGATTACATGCTATTGCTTTTTTTTTCCTTTAAATGTGTTCTCTGGCACATCTTTTCTATTAGTGCAGTGGAAATATTATATGATGAGGGTCAGAGGTAGGAAAAGGCCTGGAAAATGACTGTTTCTATGTTGATCGTAGTGGCAGTTTTCCCTCTATTCCCTGTGTGTTGCATGTGAAAATGCATGATAAGCAGACACTTGATAAACCTGCTGAATTCCTGAGATAAGGCAAAGCGAATCAGGCCAGAATAGAATGTTCACTTGCTGTAAGATTGATGTAATGTTAATATGTAGTCTTAAGTTTATTACAACCTGTTTTCATTAAATTCTGTGGATTTGCTTGAGTGCTATCTGAACCGTTCTGCCTCCTATGATCGCACTAAAAGGCCTTTAATTGTGTGTTTGCATAATTTGTTTCAGAAACATCAGATTAAAGGGGAAGTGGTTTGTTTAGCTTCGGTTTCAACATCCATATAAACTGTGTGACCTCGTTTTAAGGCTGACAACAAGATGCTTCCCCTGTATCAGGGTTTTCAGTTTGCTACTTCATAAACTGCTTTGTTTTCCTACTGGTTTCGTCTCAATTCCAGCAAATGTAGGGCAAAATAAAAACCTAAAAGATTCGAGTACCTGTGGAAATGTTTGCTAGTCTGAGCTGCAACCAGAATTTGACAGCATTTGGCTTGTGGGAGGTGTTAACTCTCCATTCTGGTGGTCTGCTTCAAAATCAAAGCATCACATTTGATTGCTGTGCTGAATGTCAATCTCTCTAAAGATATTTGTCTCAGTCATGTTTCTTCCATAAAAATATCTTTTTTTTTTTTGTCTGTCTTGTACCAGTTAAGGGCTCGCGGCCGGGAAAGAACGTTCAGCTAACGGAGAACGAGATCCGCGGCCTTTGCCTCAAATCCCGTGAAATATTCCTGAGCCAGCCAATCCTGCTTGAATTAGAGGCCCCTTTAAAAATATGTGGTAAGTTTCAGTGAACCGAGGGTTCAGTTTGCATAAATGGTTTAAAACGTTGCAGAATACAAGTGCAAAGTTAACAAAGGAGCATGCATGATAGATGTGATGATTCACAGGACAAATGGCTTAAATAAATGTTTATTAATCTGTAATCAAGGGTTCATTTAACTGTAAATGCTGCATGCTGAGACTCTCAATGCAGTGTTCCAATTATGCACCTCTGCTGCCCCCTGCAGGTGATGTCCATGGTCAGTACTATGATCTGCTCAGGCTTTTTGAATATGGTGGCTTCCCTCCGGAGAGCAACTACCTGTTTCTGGGCGACTATGTAGACCGAGGGAAGCAGTCCCTGGAAACCATCTGTCTCCTTCTTGCCTATAAGATCAAATACCCCGAGAACTTTTTCCTGCTGCGTGGCAACCATGAGTGCGCCTCCATTAATCGAATCTATGGCTTTTATGATGAGTGTGAGCATTAATTAGTCCCTCTTCAATATATTTCATTAAGATATAAAGGAGTAATTCTAACGCTGCTTATCTGTGCTTCCTTTCTTCCGGTGATAGGTAAGCGACGGTATAACATAAAGCTGTGGAAGACCTTCACAGACTGCTTCAACTGTTTACCTGTGGCTGCTATTGTAGATGAGAAAATTTTCTGCTGTCATGGAGGTAGAGCTTCTTCGCTACACAAAATTGTTTTAGAAGAGCAGATCAAAGGTAAAATGATTTAAAAGGAATTTCTCTCTGCATGCACTTCTCTAGGTCTCTCTCCAGATCTTCAGTCGATGGAGCAGATCCGCAGAGTCATGCGGCCCACAGACGTGCCCGACCAGGGTTTGCTGTGCGACCTGCTGTGGGCCGACCCGGATAAAGACGTGCTGGGCTGGGGGGAGAACGATCGCGGAGTCTCCTTCACATTCGGGGCAGATGTGGTGGCCAAATTTTTGCACAAACACGACATGGACCTAATATGCAGGGCGCATCAGGTAAGAATTTGCTTTTCTCAAAGTTAGCAACATTTTTGAATTGTGAGTAGTGGCTTTTAAAGAATCTAAGTTGGTAATGTATGTGAGGGTACCTGGAAATGTATGGAATTCCGGGTTGTTCTTTTTTCCAATCCTAGAAAAGTTTCCAGGTTTTATTTTGTATACCATTCTCAAGAGTTTGGTCCAATTTGAAATGACTTTGAGAACTATAAGGATATACAAGAACTACGTTTAGAATTTTTTTATTTTATGGCTCTCATGGCATCAATAGTCTTTAAAAACTTGATCCAAGTAGAAGACAACATGACGCATGTAACATTTGTCAAAGATCAGCCACAAGAATAATAGAAAGAAAAAAAAAAAACTGTTTTATGAGATGATAAAAGTTCACATTTTCAGCTTCAAGACCTCTTAGCTTCTTAGATTGTTGATTAGTTTGTTTGTTTACAGATCCTTAATCTACATGTTTTCAAAAGAATCCAAATCAAGCTTGTTTTCCATCAGAGGTTTATGCGTCAAATAGATAACCCTTATGGAATAGTAAGGATGAGTTTTGGCAACGGTGTTGCGATAAGATATGCAGCATGATGCTTTGGTCACAATACGACATTACGATATTCCAATATAGTTGTATATCGTGATATTTTTCCCTGCTATCAAAGGGAAATGTGTATCTATAAAAAAGGGCTGTAATGTTCATCAGAAGATATTGATAGTTATTTGGGTCTCCATATTGTTTGAGGTTTGAGCCGGTCCACGTCTTACAATGCGACTGCCTCAACTATAGATATGATGCTGCGTTGCTGGCAAAGCTGGTCAACAGCACTATCTACCAGAGTGGCAGTGCAGAGGTAGCCCCCCTCAATTATTTTATTTTTTTTTTACTCCATAGTAAAACTTGAAAGCTCACATCAGGCAGTCAAAAATCAGTATATATGGCTGATATGTTTTTTTTTCTTCCACACATCTAAACTGTAGAAATGTTTCCACAAGTCAGTCAAGTTTAAAATTGTCACCATAATATGCACCCTGGGAAGTCTGGTCTAATAATGGTTTGATTTTTGACGTTGAAATAAAGAAAGCTTAAGTGTGTTCTAAGCTTTTTTGGATTATGAAGGTTTGCAGCACATGTTCAATATTTAAAATTCATGATAGTTCCAGCGAGGAAAGGAGGTGTTGCATGAGACTGGAGTTGTTGCAATGAACCTGTGGTTTTAGATGCACCAACTCTAAAAATTTTTTCATTCTGCTCGCTAAAGACCAATAGGATTAAAAGGTTCCTACTAGTTTAATAATTTAACAATTGGAACAAAGATGGATGCATCTTTGATTTTTCACACGTTCTGACTCTAGTTTTCTCTTTTAAGGTGGTTGAAGATGGTTATGAGTTTTTCGCAAAGAGGCAACTCGTCACGCTTTTCTCAGCTCCCAACTACTGTGGAGAGTTTGATAACGCTGGTGCCATGATGAGTGTGGACGAGACCCTCATGTGCTCCTTCCAGGTTTGTGAAAACCTTTTTTCGTTGCTTTTCAGGTGGTGGATTTTCAAGTGTTTATGACTCGCCTTCTTTGTTTTCTGAAGGTCTTTCATCATTTGTGTTTTTTAGATCTTTAGAAAAGCTCTTTAGAAATTTGTAGACTTTGGACTTTTGGGGATAAGAAATTATCCTGGACAAATATTTTTCTTAGAAACTATTGAACTAAACAATAATGCTGTCCTTTTGTATGCCAATAATGGCATAATGGTGTACACCCTCTCAAAGGTCAAGCTTTAATGTTCAAATAAATCAAAAAATATAATGAAAAATAAAATGTTATAACTGCAAAATAAAATTGTGAGATAGAAATAGAAATCAGAGAACCCAAAAAATCTCAGAACTTACGTCTTATTCTGTGCTTTAAGGCGGTTGTGTTTCGGTGGTTATACACATTAAAGGCTTCTTTTTTTTGTTGCCTTTAATGTATTTGGTTTGGCATATAAAAACGATGTCAAACTCTGAGATAGTCCAGTGCTAGTTGTTTTCACTCGGTTGTAAAAACTGCACAGTGATTATGTTTTGAGGTGCAGTTCCAATTTTGTTCTTTGTTTTTTTTTTTTGTATTACTGCTTTTAGTTGCTGCTTTAGAATAAAGAATAATAAAGAATAAATAAAGAAGCCACCTGGTTCAGAGCCATGATTGGGTTGAAATCCAAAGTGCTCCAACTCTGCTGTCATGTTCGGCTTTGAAACCAATTCCATCTCTTTTTCAAAATCTCGACTACCATTTCACTGACTGGCTACTCTTCACAGGGCTCTTATGTTACACTCTGTGGTACATAACAGTATGACATCGTGCGCCTGGCAGGTACCTGATGCATGAATGAACTCATCCTGACACTAAGGAAATGAGAAGGAAGGGTTGAGTGCAGACTGATGCACCAGTGTGAATACCGCAAAACATAAGCATATGAATGGAAATGATCAAACTCATATATTTTATGTCGTCCAAATATTTTCAATTTATCATGAGGGTCCTTCAAAAGGGTACATTCAACCATCAGCTTAGCCTTTTTAAAACACTTATATTAATGAAGTGCAAAAAAAAATCTTGTTAAAACAGAACAGCCTGATGTTAAAATAGCCAATTAGTAGAACGGCATTAATTGGCATATTTACTGGAGCTTTTTGCCTGTTTAAATCTCAGATATTTTTTATTTTGTTACTGATTTATGTGAGACTAAACACCGTAGTGAGATCCAAAGGGATGCATGTGGCTTCAGAAACACTGAGCAGCTTATGAGTCTGATGTGGGGTTTAAGGACATCTCTTAAGTATCTAAAACTGACCGATCAGCGGAAGGGTGAGCAGAGGGCATTCCGAATGACTCCCTTCCTACATGACTGCATCTGTCTGAGGAACTGCATGTGAGAAATCTCACAAAAAACCCACCTTATCATCTGAATACGTTTTGGTTATATTTGGCATTTCAAATTGGTTCTCTTTCTTTAACTTTAAATTTTCTCTGCCAGTAATATTATTTGGTGTTTTGTGGTAAAAAGACAGAGTTTAAGCACTGGCCTCTTGTATATGCATGAATAAAAACGTACTAATTCGATAACCTTAAATCCCTCATGCCTTAAGAAGACACTGAGCGATTCTGAATCCCATACATCAAATAATTCAGGATTTTTCCAACAATTATCATGTAAAAAAACAGACGATAGTTGTGATGTAAAAAACCCAAAGTTCAATGAGGTATACTTTTCTTTTTTATATATGATCCAGAGTCTTTCCATTTTATTTCTGGCCCAGATCTGGATTTGAAGTTTAAAAATATATAGAAGTTCCAAATTATACTGCAGCCTTATTCTGCTTGCATTTATAGTTAATTTGGTCTGCTGGTTTAATTTAAGATAATTATTGTTATAATTTTTGTTTTGTTTTTTTCTGTCTCTTAGATTTTGAAGCCAGCAGATAAGAAATTGTATCCTTATGGCAGCGGAGGAGGAGGTGTGGGATTGGGAAGACCCGTCACTCCTCCACGGAACGCAGCCAAGGCTGGCAAGGCAAAGAAATAACACCCGCCGGTTCCCCTTCCTACGATTCAGCACCCTTTGTCGGCCCAACACTTTTTTTTTTTCCTTCCTTTCCTCCCTGTCTACCTCCCAAACTTGTTCCTTCATTGGCACTGAACAGCAACAAAAACAACCAGGGTCCAGTCAGTTTTGTTTCATTTTTTCTGAATTGAACGCATTTTATTTTGCTTTGTGTTTTATTTCCTTGTGTGTTGATATGCGAGTAAAGAGTGAGAATGATTCCAGAGGAAGTTGCTGTATTCATGTACTTTTTCCCTTTTGTTGTCCTATTTTCCAGTTGATTCTTTTTTTGTTTTGTATCGAGTGTTTTTGCCCGTTCATCATGTAAATCATGCCGGTGGGGGTTGGGCGTGAAGAAGAGAGCTTTAGCCGTTTTATGTTGAAGTCTGGGACTGTTTAAAGCTATTGTACATGTATAGGAGGTCTGTGTGGTGGGAGGGCAGGGAAGTTGGAGGAGATCCAAAGGTAACGGCACACCGAGTGCACAGGAGACTCCAACTGGGAGGATTCTTTTTTTTTATTTGATTTTCCTCTTCCATTTTCAGAACCAATCATGTGATTATAGATGCTTTTCTTCGCCGTTTTTGTAGATACTGACAACAGAATGGTTTTATTTTTTTTTTCTTATGTTTTTAGCTCATTCAAAGCTGAAGCTCAATAAAAGAAACCTTTAATTTGAAGCACATCATCATGCTCATCACTTATTTGTCAGTGACTGATCTTCATTTGTTGTGACTTGCCTTTAATAGATATGAAATTACTAATATCAGTGACTTTGCTCGAGATGCTGAACAGGTTTAGACTTTTCATATGTGGCTTCAGTGCGACTGATATATTGACAAAGCAGCAGTAAAACAAAAATTGGTTTGATGCTTTTCTTTGATGACCCAGATGTTTGATTATTTTTGTAATGTCTTAAGTACTCATCAGATCCAAAGCGTAGTCGCCCAATGCAGGTTCAAATCTTGCACAAACGAGCACAAATTCACATGAAACAGGGAACGTGAGATGTTTTATGATTTAAAGAAAATAATGCATTTCTGTTAGGATTGCTTAAACCATAAATTCTAAACCATCACATATATTCAAGATAAATGTAAAGACTTCAAGTAACTTTAAGAAATCAAAGTATGTGTTATGTAAATACATATAAAAAAAATTGCTTTATAAGAAATCTATCTGAATGCTTCTAACTACGTTCCCAGTTTTTTGTGTTCCATCTGTGGGAGAAGAGCCATAAACTGAATAAAAATGCTATCTAATTATTCATATTAATGAACTGTGACCCCTCGGCTGAGATTTCTTTTGTTTGTTTTTTCAAGTGTCCCATTTATTTGATCTTACAGGGTATTCCTGCTTTAAAAAGGGATGCTGTAATTGTAAAATGATCCTCTATGGAGTTTCAGGGTTATCTTTCAGCCCACTTCCACCACCATGAACACTCCTGAGTGTAGCTGCCATTTTGTTTTTATCTTCCGACTGTCCTTGGTTTTGAAACCTCTTTTCAAATGCAAGCACCATATAGACTGACAGCAGGGCAATAAGGATAGAGAAAGTGGACTTTAAACATTTTTTTTTTTTGTATGCTAGTTTTCCTGACTGATTTGTTTTGTGCCTGAGAGGTCTGGTGGGGAAAATAAATAAATCATCAGACTTTATTTTGTGCACATGTTCGATTTGAATCTAAAACCAACTCAGGAAGTGAGACTGAATACATATACAGGCCAGCCAACTCTACATACTACACCTGCATGCATTAGCTGAAGTGCTGCAGAAAAATGGGTCCGAATGAGTTCCCATTCAAAGTGACCGCATTTAAATTTGACCAAACTATGAGTAATGTTCAATTATCCGTTGTGTAGGAAGTGTGTAAACGACTGCAGGTTTCAGTGTACAGAGTGAAGATAACTGCAGTGCTCCCATCAGTAAAAAACATTTTTACGAAACCTGCAGAACTTAACGTCCACTTTCGTCGTTGCTTTTTCATAGCTGTACAAACCGCAGCTTCAAACATTTCTCACCTTTCTGTTTATGCTGATTACCACCAATAATCTGCTTTCAATCTTTCATTTTTAATAGATTTTATTTCTGTAACTTATAAGCATAATGGGGGTAGGATCTTTTTAATCAATCAGGGATGTTTTTGCACCATGCACTGTTGCTGGGTAGATTTAGATCCATTACAGTTATAAGATTAGGAAAAAGAACAATGGCATTTTTATTTGTATATCTTTTTGTTTTCATCTCTGTCTCAATGTAGAAATAAATATAGAATTTGTATATTTGTGTTTGGGTCTTTTTTGCATCTTGAACTAAATATAATGTGAAAAGGGACTTTGTACTTTTCCAATGTATTCAATCCTCTTCAGTAATGAAATGTAACATCACACAACTACAAACCTTATGGAATTAATGCTAGTTTATATGATGGAAAAAACAATATCAGCTGAAAGTATTTAGTGGTTTGTTTTGAACCTGCTTAGCACAAATGAAATGGTAGACCTGAAATTTTAAGACTTTTTTTTTATTCAAGTCTAGAAGAGGGATTTCCAAAGTGTGGCCCAGGGGCCATTTGGGGCCCTTGAAACAATTTTAATCAGCCTTGGATTACAATTCTAGAATGTCTTAATTTAAGAGTTGCCATTTTAGGTAATTGATGCAGATGCACAACAAAAAAAAAAAAAAAACTAGGGTACAATTTTTTCTAATAATACAGATTATATAAGATTAAAACTTTATTAAAATGTAAGATCAAACACATTTTAGCCGTTTATTGATCATATTTTTCTTTTAGTTTTATTTAATTGCAAATAGAACAACAAACATAGTTAGACTGTTTCTAAAAACAAATGGATCCATGTAATAATACTGGCATCTTAAAGGAGTTAACCGTGGCTCTCCTGCTTATGACACAAATAGAGAAAAAACATACATAATTTGCTGGTTTTTTTGTTTTGTTTTTTCTTAAAGTAAAAAAAAATCTGAGGGATTTATGATTTTTTTTTTATTCAAGCATGATATGGATCCATCTTCTACATAAATAGGATGGTTTAGTGTTTTTTTATACATACTTTTTTATATTAAATTAGCATTAATATAAAACCACTCCATAGTAGGTCTGGCTGTATGTCAAAGACCATCCAGGTTCATCTCTGCTCCAGCTAACATCTGTATCTCTTGAAGTAAGGAAACCCTAACACTGTTGTGGAGAATATGTGTTCAGATTGATTTTGTAACATGTGAAATCACAGTGCTCACTTTATCAGTATAAATCATGTGTACAATTTTTTTTATTAACCTGTTTATTTATATATTATTTATTTAATAATGTGAGATGCATCCAATGAAAGGTATATTGTGAGCTGGAATTGCTATCAGCTGCTTTCCAACATAAACTTTCTCCTCTTGCTCTCAGAGTGGGTACCAATGCCATTTAATGAATTGCTTGTTTTACATAGGAGTACCGTTGCACTCCTGATTGGATACCAGCCCCACCCCCCTATTTGTGGTCACAGCAGCTTCCTGTTTGTGGGTGCTGAAATATTTGAGGATATGCAGAGGCACCACTTTGGATTGTTTTCCAGTTGAAACTTGTCCACACCTTTGGAAACTGAATTCCTAGTAAACATCTACATAACAGCAAACTGCTCTACGGTCAATTAGCAGCTTGATTAGACTAAATTATCTCTTTTTTGCAAGTTTAATTGCAACTCTGCCAAAAGCAAATACCAAATAAAAACTATAAATAAATAAAAAATATATATAATTAGTTCTTTATTACTTCAATCATTGTAAAAACCCTCAGATGGAGATTAATGGTACCTGCATAGTGAGCATGTGATGGTTTTGCTCCTAGCCTTGCTGATTCTGAACCGTTTCACTGTTTGTGTAAGTAATTAATGGAAATGCGCCAGCAGCACCAGTAGTGCTGTCAGGCATGACTGAGCAAGCCGGATGTGCCGCCTCATTACTATGAACCTTCAAAACTGATATCCACTGTCATGCGATACCATAAATATTTGACACTCAATATAGAATATTATCTGTTTCGAGGTAGCTTGATGCCATACAACCAACTGTTTGCAAAGGCATATAATGATCACATCTTTGCGTTTAAACATGTTCAGTGATGCATTGTGTATTAAAATACACAAAGTTTGAAAAATAAAAACTACTAACATTACTTATTAGTTTTATTAATGTATACCAAACGAATTTTTATCCCCTGGAACCGTTTTAACAGTGGTTATGTTGGGTCGAAAATGGGCTGTTTACATGTCCCCTGTAATGCTGAGCAGCATATAACATTCAGAACTGCATTTGGAGAAATTAAATCTCTTCAAATGTCTCTAATTGCAATAAAGACATTTTAGGGGGAAAAAAAAGGTATGCAGACATTTCATAACATATTTTACTTAGAGCTATTAATGTTTTCATTGTTTAGATGTAGTAAGATTATGTAAAGCACATAAAAAAACATTTTAAGAAGAACTCCTTTTTAATTACAGCAATGATTATTTAAAAATCAAAAGGACAAACTGTCAATGTCGAATCTGTGAGCTAATTCAGTTGTGTAATGTAAGACTAGAAGATACTCAGTAAATACAGGAGATTCTGAACTTTGTAATTGAACTTCATCAGCTTAAAAGCTGAATCTCTTCTATGAAATGTATTACAAGCATGTGGCCTATTTGTTTGGCTTTGTAATTTAAATTGTTTTTTTTCCTTCTATTTCTTGGAGAAATGGGCCATTTGATATGTTTAAAGTCAGTATTGAGGGTTACTGTTACTAAATCTGGTATATTTTTATAATGTTCCGTATTTATAATACTTGAATAGAATAGGTTTTACTGATAGATTAATTATCAAATCGTACTTTTATTGGCAAATATGTGTTTGAAATAATAACTACTCTCTTATACAGCAATGTTTAATGAAAATTCGCTTTTTGTTGCAAATAATCCACTAGATTATAAATAAAACCGAGCTTGAGAAGATGAATTATTGAATTTCACCTTAGAGAACAAAAACTATCTGACTGTGATTTGTGGATGATTTACAGGGAATTTTATGTTCATCAAATTCAAACGGCAAAGCGCATTTATGCTTTTATATTTAAAACGTCAATTACCAATGTAAACTGATGGGTGGCTGAAAGCAGACAGACGCCAGAACCTCAGGGACAATCTACACTGTTCCAAATGGAAAATGAAAGAGCAAAAAACATCCATATTTTCTAAATAAAGACTAACTATACTTTCCTACAACCTTTTGCTAACAAATAGACGCATATATTTAAACATCCATGCTGTCGAAATTAAAGGTGTAGTGGACAAAATTCTTTCAGGTTTGTTCTCTGGGGCGAACATCTTATTTATTGTCATTAGTAACATACTTTTATCAATAATTGTTCTGCATAAAATTAACTTTTAGATGTACTAATATCTGTATTAAATTGATTATTATTAAATTATTTATATTTCACTGAAAACTCGAAGATGACTTGCAGAGACATAATTTTCTCTTTACCTCATACAAGGCAAAATCTAGTTCTGAAAAGAGCATGAATTCTGTATTTATCATCTTTAATGTATATTGATGAGCATAATTAACTATCAGGTTTTTGTTTTCAGGTAATTGTTAATATATGAAGAATTAAAATGTTAAATAAGTTACAACATTCCACCAGAGAATATTGTTTGCCACCATCTATATAGGGCTTGGTCGTCATGACGTAAGCACTTCGCGTCGCCGCCATGTTGAATGCGTCTTTTACCGCGGCTCAGACTACTGCCTATGACTACCGCGCACTGTACTCCCTCTCAGCCGTGTTTTAATTTGATTAATTTCACCTTAACTTGATTTCAACCATGGTAAACCGTTGCTGTATTGCGGGCTGTAACAGCGCAACACGTGATCACCATGGGAAAAACATAGAAAATGGGTTAACTTTCCACCGCTTTCCTGACTGGAGGCGTAACCATGGAGACCAAGCTTTCAGAGATAAAGAGTCGTCGGCTAGCTTGGATCGCGGCTGTAAGACGACCGAACATAACTTTCCACAGTATTCCAATGTCATTGAGAGTCTGTTCCCTGCATTTTCATTCTGGTAAGTTAAAGATGCACGGTTTTATTTTATAGCCTACATTGTTTATGTCCTTCAAAGTTGGGATCTTTTACGGGAAAATAATAAAAACGGCAACGGGAAAATGCTCAAATACGCGAGAAACCCGGAGGGTTGGCAGTTAACGTTACTAACTACACCTTTTAAACACATAGCAGCTAATTAAAAGTAGATTAAATGCGTGAGTGGTTGTTAGCACTAGCGGTTAGCAGTTGCTAAACTAGCAGGTTCCAGAGCCCGTCTGATCACAGCTTACCTTCGTACGGATTACTGTGTTCCCACTGTTTGCTGGCTTTATGATGTGCAGCTCCTGAACCCATCCATTCATGAACTGCACATGAGACTCCAAGGACTTGTAGCTTCGGAACTGTTTTGAAGTATAGGCGCTCACTCATCGGTGCTCCACTCATTGCTGGAACTTTATATGGATCCAAATGATTAATAATGCTGATTTTGTCAACATACCGGTCCCTGGCTTCTCTATTTAATGTGTCCCGGTAAATTCCAGTTCCTTTTCGGGATTTTAACATCTTTTTTCTCTCTACTTCTGTCTCTTCTTTCAACAACAATGTTGTGTCAGAGCTATGTTTACGTTTGCGTAGCAGTCAGTATGGCTGCGACGTCCCACAATGCAACGTGGATCCCGAGCCCTATTACAGGGAAATAATGGTACGGGTACGATTGGCTAAGGATGGCCATGGCCACCCCTGGCCCCCCATCTAGCTCCGCCCCTGCACTCTACGCACTCGAATTACTCAGCGGGAACGCGTAAATGAAGTATGCACGGCTTGTAGTGCGAGTATTGAGACTGGGCTTTGATTGTCAAGGGGTAGTGTTTAAGGGACGGTTTTGGGATTGGAAAACTACACAGCTCGGATTTGGCGGTGACGCCCACCTACAAACTGACCAATAGGAAAGCTGGAAACCCTTCCTCTGTGTAATTGAAGTTAGCTTTCCCAAATAGGAAAGTCGGTGGGCGTGGCCACTACTAGTTTGGTTGTGCTGGAGGTTTCTCATCAACTTTTTTTTTTTTCTACGAGATTTTTAAAAGCTAATTTGCAATACATTTTCAAAACAAATCTAGTTTTACTGGATTGTTGTGCACCTCTACTTTCTTGTGTTTTCA